GCATGATAGTAGAGGAAAATGAACTCTGAATTGGGAAGGGCCGTATGTGGTGAAATGAGCTTTTTCGGGTGGAACGTTGATACTGACTGAGATGGATGGAAATGATTTATCCCATCCTATAAATTCTGATGCTGTGAAGAAATACTATGCTTGAAAAAAATGAAAAAAATAAAAAAATAAAAAATGAAAAAAAAGAAAAAAATGAATGAAAAAGGAAGACTCAAGGCGAAAACCCTAAAAGGACAGTTTGAGTCATAAGAGGTTTGTCTAAGTTGAAAACCTAAAAAGGCAGCCTAGATAAGGAGAATACAGCATCAAATTTGAAAGTCCGCTGACATGAAAGCTAGCAAATTTGAAAGAGTTTCAAGTTGTTAAGTACATCAGAGGGTTGGGTTTTCAGAAAAAACTTTGAGATGTGTTATCATGATTATTTGATTGTTCATTTTGAGCTTTGTCCCCATACTCATCCTTGTAATTTTCTCTTGGCCAAAATTAGCCAACATTTTGCTAATAAGAGACATTCTATTTCATTCTTTGTGTCTTTTTCTGGTGATTGTTTCTCAACCATTCATATTCCTTTCTTCCTAATACGCCACCATGGAAGAAACTTGCAAATGCATTCTTACTTTTTGAGTTTGGAATAATGATTGATGAATGAATAACAACATGAAAGATTTTTACATTACATTGAATAAGTCAAGAGTGATAAAAACAGAATCGAGATGTTCAATTCTTGATTAAGACATTGAATTTGGGAAGAGATTTCTTACAGGAAAAATGTGAGTGGAAAAGACAATTAAAAGCTACACTGGTTCGATCTTAGAAGAGCGGTGTAATTGGATCATTGAAGAATCAAAAGGCTTGATGCCCAAGAAAAAAGCTTGAGAAACTTGAGTACCATACATTGAATAGGAATTAATTGGCCAACATTTGCATAGCATGCATTGAAATTCATATGCATTGCATAGCATACACTACTTTCAGAAAAGTATAGTGTATAAATTCAAGAAGCAGAGGTGTTCCAAGATCCCACATGGAGAAGATAGATGTGAAGATATTTTCAAAATTGAAAAAAAAGCTTGTCAGGTAAGTTCCTAATCTTTGAAATAGGATGTCTTTTGATATCAGGGTTGATTTATAAGACCTTTGGACATAATCTCCTGAAATTCCTTCAAACACAACTTTCAACTCCTTTGGACATGATTGTCAAGGAGCAATTTACTTTTCAAAGTCGTGGTGCCTCTGTTTAGAGGAACAATTTACTTTCCAAAGTCGTGGTGCCTCTGTTTAGAGGAGCAATTTATTTTCTAAAGTCGTGCAATTTACTTTTTCAAAGTCGTGGTGCCTCTGTTTACAGGAGCAATTTATTTTTCAAAATCGTTGAGCCTCGGATTAGAGGAGCCATTTATGTTTCTCAAAGTCGTTGAGCCTCTGCTTAGAGGAGCTTCGGTCAAAAACAAAAAAAAAAAGCAGAAAAACAAAAAATAGAAATGTCGAGTTGAGTCTTGATTGGGTGTCTACATCTTTGTGCAATTTCTATTTCACAGAAAATGTGCAAAGAAGGGCAGCTATAGACACCCAATTTGGTCTAAGCCCGGATCAATTGTGCTTGGTCCAAATAAGTGAGTCTATTTTCTTTTTTTTATTTTTTTTGTATTTTACATTTTTATTTTATTTCTATTTATTATTTTATTTTTATATATATATATTTTTCTTTTATCTTAGGTATTTATTATTTATTTATTTATCATTATTATTTATTAATATATATATCTTTATTATTATCTTTTTCTTTTTCTTTTTTTTTGTTAATATTTATAGGTATATCAGATTATATGTTATAATTTATCTGTTATTTAATTTTAATTTATCTGGTAATTTTTTTATTTATCTGATTTATTTTCATTTAATTTTTTTTATTTTTTTTATTTATCCGGCTGGAAATTGGATTGGGATTCAATCAGAAGAGTCCTTGTTGGATTCAATGATTGAATCTCGATCCAAAGAAGAATTGAGATTGATCAAAAACTCTTCTGATCAATCCCTATAAAAGGGATCTTCAGGAACAGAACACAGAAAACAGTGAGAAAAACAGCTACTGGTTAAGAGAAAAAGGCATATAGAAGAGATTTGAAGGCTAAGAAAGGTTTAGAAGTGTTAGAACATATTTAGGAATCGAAAAAAGTTTTTTTGGAGATTTTTGACGAAATTTTTTTCTGGAAATTTTTGGAAAATTTTTAGATTCCAGTGAATTTTTCGACGGACATTGAATTTTTCGATGAAGATTCCGACCAAGTTTGAAGTTTCCAACCAACTTCTCAGTTTTCGATGACATTTCTAGAAACTGATCAGTTTTTCAGTGAACTTCCGATGAAAAACTCAGATTCCGATGAAAAATTCTAGAATTCGATGAATATTCAACCTGAGTTCTTTGGGCGTTTTAGAGAGAAGGGAGAGAAAAAAAAGGAAGAGAAAGAGGAAAGAGGTTCGATCTGCTGAAAAACGAAGGAACTAGCATTATATACCCTCCCAAAACGACGCCATTTTTGCATTAAATAACCCAGAGGATCAGCGCGTTTTGCCAAGATCTAACCCGACCCAAGCGTCGACCCACTTTTTGACCCGCGCATGTTCTGCCTCCCCGAGCCATTAGCCGAGCCGAGTCGAGCCGACGTCCTGAGCCGCTTCTCTGAGCCATTTTTTTTTCCTTAAGCCGAGCTGTTCTCCAAGCCGCTCCAGGTTATTTATTTATTTATTTTAATTATTAGATTATGTTTATTTAATATTCTTTTATCTTTATTTTATTTTTATTTTTGTTTTACTTTTCTTTATTTTTTTATTTTTTTATTTTCACTTTTATTTTGTTTTATTATTTTATTTTCTTTAAATAAAATAAAAAAAAGTTTTTGAGGAAAAGTTGAAAGTATCAATTTTCCTTAAAAATAAATTTTCAAAAAAAAGTTTTTGAGGAAAAGTTGAAAGTATCAATTTTTCTTAAAAATAAATTTTCAAAAAAAAAGGTTTTTTTTTAGGAAAAGTTGAAAGTATTAATTTTCCTCGAAATTAAAAGTTTCCAAAAAATATTTTCAGAAAAAAGTTGAAAGTATCAATTTTCCTTAAAAATAAATTTAAAAAAAAAAGGTTTTTTTTTTAGAAAAAGTTGAAAGTATCAATTTTCCTCGAAATTAAAGTTTTCAAAAAAAATATTTTTGAAGAAAAGTTAAAAGTATCAATTTTCCTCGAGATTAAAATTTCTAAAAAATATTTTGGGGAAAAGTTGAAAGTATCAATTTTTCCTGCACAAAAGCAATCATTCTTTTTTTTCCCTTATTTTTTATTTTTTAATGTTAAATAATCCGACAATAGAGTCTCTGCAATTGAAACAGTAGTTTTCTTGCATATTCTTGAGGTGAGGGGATTTTTTCAATTTTCTGCTAAAAGTATTAGAGTCAATTGAGAATAATTTTCAATAGTTAATTACTTGGTAAATTTTTAAGGCTTATTGGATAATACAAATTTAAGCTGGTACCATCTTTTGATGGGCATTATGAGGGTGCTATAACCTTCCTCATACGTAACCAAACTCCCGAATCCAGTTCTAGTTAGTAGACCTGAACCTATTCTTTTAAGGATTCTTAAACTTAGGTGTTCCCTGAAAGGACAGATTCCTTAGGTGGCCAATTACACATAGATAAAAAAGATTGGTGGTGACTCCCTTAAGTTAATGTCTAGCGATAGATCCCTAGATCTAGACGTTATGACACATTCTATAAAATTTTTAACGCTTTGATGAAATTTATAGAAAATATCTTCGCTTAAAAATTTTTTGAGAAGATTAACTATTCATAAAATTTCCAAGATTACGTTATGAGATATTCTTTATCCGAGAATGACATGTATAATTTTAAGTATTATAAATTAACTATGACTTTTTTATTATATTGTTATTTGTTCATTATTTTGTAATTGTTTAAATAAAACTTTCATTTGTAAAATTGATTCTAGGAGTATCCTAACTTTTTGGTAAGATCCTAAAAAATTATTTTTTTGAGTAATAATTAAGAAAAATCAGACTCTTCCAATTTTCCTTAACAATTTTCACTCAAAATATTTTTTAAAATAAGCATTTTATTTGCATTATTTACATTATTTATTTGTTCATTTTGTTTTTTGCTTTTTATTAAAATCTTATGTAATAAAAATAATTTTTAGAACATCCTAACTCATTGGTGATACCCAAAAATATTTTTCTCTTTGTAATAATTAAAGAAAATTGAACTCTTTAAATTTTTTTTAAAAATTATATTTTTAAAAGATTTATTCAAATAATCTATTTTTAATTTTATTTATTATTTTTTATCATTTTTATTTTTTAATAAAAATAAATTCTTAAATTATCCTAACATTTTAACGAAATTCATGAAATATTTTTACTTGTAAAATTAAGGAAAATATTACTCTTTCTATTTTCCTTAATAATTAATTTTTATTAATTCTTTAAAAAAATATTTTTTTACACAAATTTTCATAAAATTTCCACAATTTATTTTATTTTTCCTAAAAAAGTGCACAAAAAATAAAATAAAAAATATATATAAAAATTGACCTAAAAAATTGCAAAAAAAATTATGAAGAAAATACTCAAACCACCCCTGCTCAACGCTGTCAATGGTCCAACAGCTGTTCTACCGATTCAAAACAGTCTGAAGCAATTCAATCAGTTCATCGCGGTTTGAAGCTGTTCAAAGCGATATGATGCGGTTTAAATCAGTTTAAGCTAGTCCAACCCGGTTCGGCTCAAAGGAGACGGGTTTCGGTTCGGTTGCGCGGATCCTTTGCAGAGAGGCGCGAGCTGCTGCGCAGATCCTAAGCCCAAATCGACATCGTTTCGTGCTTTCCATTTTTTTTTTTTTGAACTATAAAAATCAATTTCTATAGCTCATAGTCTGCTTTACTTTCTCTCTCTAGTTACCTCTCTCTCTAATCTCCACACGCCGGCAACCTTCTGCTGTTGGCCACTGCCTCTGCAACCTGTTTTGCCATTGCGGATGGTAGGAAAATTCTCAAAAATTCACCACTTGCTCTTTTTGACCCCCAGAACACGAATCTAGCCTCAGTTTCACGAAAAATAGCTTCAAATGGCCTAGATCAGGCCTTGAGGTTTCAGCCGAAAATTTTCTTTTTCGATTCTTTGGTGTTTGTGATTTTGTTGTTGGTTCCCTTTAGGGTTGTGATATGTTGTGTTTTTTTTTTTTTTTTGTTTTTGAGTGGTGAGGAAACTGAAACTTAAAAGGGGTGTGGACAATATTTTTGGCAGCTTGATTTTTTTCTTTGTTTTTGGCAGATTTTTGGTCTTTTTTTTTTTTAATTTTTGGGTTCTCTGTCAATTTCCTCTGTCTTTTTGTTCTGTGAATTTGGCTCTCCATTTATAGAGAGCCAATTCGCCAAATCCCAGTTTTGTGGAAGAAAACTTGGACATGGACTTCTGTTACCGAAATCTCATCCTGCAAAGTCAGGTAAAGTGGCTGGAATTCGATGCAATTAACCCACCGATTTTGGGGAAAGAAGAAAAACAAATTTCTGGCAGCTTGAAAACAAAATTTCTGACAGCTTGGTTTCAGTCGTGAGAGTTTAAAAAAAATTAACTTTTCTTTTTTACCCTTTTTTAAATGATTACTAATAATAATAATAATAATAAATCCAAATAAACATGATCAAAATATCAAGTAGGTATTTCGATCAATACGAACAAAATTAGTTGTCTCCAGTGATACTGTGATACTTGAGCATGTGCTCCTTTTCTTCCTCGTCTACGTCATGTAAAATCAATTTTGAAGAGGAAACATAGCCCTCTCGCTTCATTTTAAAATTCAACTCTTGTCGACTGGTTTTACAAGATGCCAAAATAAGGACGATCTCGAAAGCAATAACAGAAGGGGAAGGTAAATTTTGATGGATCCATCAAAAGAAACCTTGGTTGTGGGGGAGTTAGGGTAATAATAACGAACCATAAAGGAGAAACCATAGCTGCTTTAGCATGCAAGATACGAGATACAACTGATATATGGAAGATGGAGAGCTGGGCTGCTGTGAAAGCTTTGAAGCTTGCCAATGAGATGGGATTTACACGAATTTAACTAGAGGGAGATGCATTGGGAATTATCAAAAAACTGGAACTACAGAATATGACTTCTCCCCATGTGGAATGATCTTGGATGAAGCTAGAATGCTGAAGAGGAGGATGCAACAATGCCAGTTGAAACAAACCAGAAGAGAAGGGAACTTGGCTGCACACATTTTAGCTAAGTATGGGGGACAATTAGAACAAGAGGAAGATGTAATATGAGTAGAGGAGTGTCCAGACCTCCTTCAAGAAACCATTGAAAGAGATTGTATGAGTTTGACTTAATATTAATAGAAATATTCTTCTGTTTCAAATAAAAAATCTAACTCTTCCAAACAGGCATAGATTTTATCTGTATCTGGGTGGCATGAGCCTCCAACTGAAAATGTATGGATCTTGTTCTGTACCTCAAGCCAACTACACCCAGGTACTTTCTTCACACCAGTATCCTTCATTTTCAATCTCATCTTACTAACATCAGCCCATCTACCAGAAGCTGCATATAAATTTGAGAGAAGAACATACATTCCTCCATTTTCAGGTTCCATTTCAAAAATCAACTCAGAAGCCATTTCAGCTAATTTGGTATTGCCATGAATTCTGCTTGCACCAAGTAAAGCACCCCATGTTGCTGCATCTGGTTCAAAGGGCATGTTTTTGATCAACTTCTGGGCCTCATCCAATCGGCCAGCTCGGCCAAGAAGATCAACCATGCAAGTATAGTGTTGTGAATTAGCTTTTATACCATATTCTTGGTTCATCGAGTAGAAATATTCTGTGCCTCTATCCGCTAAGCCAGCATGACTACAAGCAGACAGTACACCAACCTGAAATGATACACTATACAAGTAAAAAAGTAGGAACTATATAATCTAGAAGGAAAGGACTCCACATTTAAAGAGTTTTCTGGATTTGAAGATATCAAGTTGAAGTGCCTCTACTACACTATTGTATCTAAGAAGGCTACTATTGAAAATTAAAACAGTTGTTGCAACAGATTAAAACTTTCCCTTCCAGTTCAGAGGAAGACTATAAGTTGCATTTATGGAAGTCTAGAGATTTTATATAACAATTATTTGAAAGCCGAATTAACTCTCATCCCTGCTAAACATCAACTCCAACCACTAGAGTATAGTATAAATTTTTTTCTTCTTTTTTTTTTTTGTATTATGTTATTTTTGACATCATATCTTGCGTGCACGGAATGATGTATTAAAAGAAAATGGATTTAATGCTCAAAACATGTGGCCTGACTATTTCTAAACACAGGTAAAATATAATAGTTATAATAATTACCATAGTGGTATCATCTGGTTTGACACCAGCTGCCTTCATTGACTCAAAAATCTTTAAGGCCTCTTTGCCAAATCCATGTCTTGCATAACCAGCAATCATGGTATTCCATGAGACAATGTCCTTCTCCATTATTTCTTCAAATGCACTGCAAGCTTCTTCTATGCTACCACACTTGCAGTACATTAAAAGAAGAGCATTTCCCACGAAGGAACCACTTTCAAATCCTGCCTTAACCAGCCGCCCATGCAACTGCTTCCCCAATTCTAAAGAAGCAATATGGGCACATGTGCTCAAGGCACAAGCAAATGAAGACCTATTCAACCTTTCTCCATTTCTTTTCATCTCTACAAAAAGGCATAAAGCCTCTTCACTATAACCACTTTGAGCATAGCCAGCAATCATGGCTGCCCAAGAGACAGTATCACGCAGAGGCATCTGATAAAACAAATCCCTAGCATGCGTTATCTCACCATTCTGAGCATATCCGGTGATCATTGTATTCCAAGAAGTGATGTCTCGACATGGCATCTCCTCGAATAATTTCCTGGCCATGTCCATTCTCTTACATTGCACATACCCTGCAATCATTGCATTCCATGAAACAGCATTCTTTTCCGGCATTTCTTCAAAAAATTCCCTTGCTGCATCAACCATTCCATTCTGCACATAGCCAGACACCATTGCTGTCCACGTAAATACATCTTGAACAGGGGACTCATCAAACAATCTCCTTGCCTTTTCAATCTCACCATTCTGTGCATAACCTGTAATGATAGTATTCCAAGAGATTTTATCTCTAAAAGGGATTCTATCAAAAATCCTTCTAGAATCAACCAACCTCTTCTTCTTCACAAACCCACCCATCAAACAATTCCAAGAAACCAAATCCCAATCCGGCTTTGATTCAAAAAGCCTAGAAGCCTCTTCCATCCTCCCATTCTGCACATAAGTTGCAAGCAAAGCATTCCATGATATTGAATTCTTGTAAGGCATTCTATCAAAAATCTTTCTTGCCTCATCGATGCAACCATTCTGAGCATACCCGGACAGCATAGCATTCCACGAAACAACATCCCTTTCAGGCATTTGATCAAACAACTCTTTTGCAGCAGCAAGATTATTGTTCCTTACACATCCACTAATCATAACATTCCAAGAAACCAAGTCTCTTTCAGGCATTTCATCAAACAAGTTTCTTGCAAGCTCAAACTTATCATTCATCAAGTACCCGGATATCATGGCATTGTAAGAAACAGAGCTTCGACGTGGCATTGAGTTGAAGACATGGAGAGCAGATTCCAACTGGGCCTTGCGCATGTGGCTCGAGATGGCCATGTTCCATTGCTTTATGTCGGAGTCACCAGCTGGTCGGGGTTTGTTGTAGTTGTTGGACCTGTGTTTTTCTGAGTTAATATTTTCTTCGATGGATATGAACTTGGGTTCGTTTGGAGTTCGTTGATGGACCGTAATTGTGTCAAACGGTGACTCCCGCGCATTGCTTTCATTTTCAGCATCACATTTTTCGGTCCGCAAAAGTTTTAAGTCTTAATAATTTTGATTGAAATTGGGTTGGTTTACGGTTTGCTTGGCTAATCAAAATGGTAATGCTTGGTGCAAACGGTGATGAAGAGTGTGCATGTGTTTTTTTTTTTTATTTTTTTATTTGAGTTTTTATTGGATGAGAGATTATGAAAGGTAATATTTTATGAATTCATTAGATTTGACATCGATAAATATACTTGGATTAATATAAAAATATATATATGAAATAAAGTCCAAAATCTCTTACCATGTAATAAAAAAATGAAAACTACATTTTACATAAGTAATTTTAGAAAAAATCACCATTAAAGATGGCCAGAGGCCAAATTAGGTAGGAATAACAATATATCCCACAATTTTGATGGATTCGATCCCATTCTAACCTAATAACAACAATTTTTTTTGTTTGAAAATGAAGGATTAGGTGGAGTGGATTGTTTTTGAACATGAAAAAGTAATTAGTTTTAATTTTGATTTAGGGAGTTTCACTTCGCCTTATACATAAAATTAGTATATTTTATTTTTATTTAGTTTTATATTTATAAATTTTTTAATGAAGAGATACTAAATAATTACATACTCAAGCAATTAAAATGTAATTTACATTAAAAAAAAAATTTTGGCTAAAGGGTAAAAAAATCCTTTGGACAATAAATGAATTGAATAATCATCCAAGCCTTTATTATTTTATTGTAAGTAATTAAACTCTCAAACATTTATTTTCACCAATTAAGTGCTTATGAGGTGAAAATTGGTTACCTATTAATATCTACCATCTAATCAAGGGCTTAGTTGGGATGAAAATATGTGTTTAAGGGTTCAACTAGGTGATAAATATTTAAAGGTTCAACTAATGTGAATAAAAAATTCAAAGTTTAATTGATTGTAATAAAATATTAGCGGCTTAAATGATTATTGAATTTTTTCGAGGTTTTTATTTTACCTTTTTGCTTAAATTTTTTTTATGAAAATTAGACTAAATAATATTATAAAAATAAATTTTGAGGCAAGATGAATCTAATGCAATTTATAAATATTTTTTCTCAGGTCAAAGTTAGACATTAAATTTGATAATCAAATGCTAAGACGAGACATGTTCTGGTTAAAAGAAAGATAAATTTGGGTAAGGTTCAAGGCAAGCAAAAAACTATCTTACCCTTCCCATTGTCATTACTTTTTTATTTTATATTTATTATTAAAATACTAAAAAATAATTTTAAATAACTTTAAAAATAAAAATAAGAAAATATATTATTTATTATTTACCATTCTTTTTGAATTTTTGAGCATTGGTAGAATGCTTCTTTTTTTTTTTGTAAATTTGAAGGGCTTATCCTTTTCCACCATATGGACATTAGAGACATGAGTCTCTTTTTCTTTTTCCTTACGATATTGATATTTTATTCGAAAATGACTTGTAGGTTTCTCAAGAGAGATAATCCTCCTTTTTATGTTGCAAGGTTCTCTTTTGAAGTTTCTCATGTTTATAGGAGTTTATCAATAGGATAGTATGAAAGATCCATCCATTTCAATCTTACATTGCTTGAATTTATTAAGGATGATTTCAATATTTGCAAATTGTTCTATGATAGGTTTTGTATCAACCATTTTATATATATTCCACCTTGTCACTAAAAACTTTTTGCTAGTTGCACCCTTTTTCATGTATTTTGCATTAAATTTATTCCATAACTCCTTTATCGATGTACTAGAAATGTATATATTAAAGAGTGAATTAGACATACCATTTAAAATACATCATATATATGTGTTATCATCATTTTTCCTATTTTAGTCTTTCACAGACTTATTTACTTGATTTTTCTTCTTTTTTCTTTTTTCTAGTTTTTGAGTTATGATAACATAGGCAATGTGTTTTTTTTCTCGGTTTGTGAATTGTAAGAACATAGGTAATGTTTGTGAGAAGAATGTGCATTTTTTATTGCCACCTTAAGAAGATATCTTCATCAAACTTTTTCAACTTTTGAAAAGTGGTTGCTATCTTTATTAAAGAGTTGAACTTCTCCATCTTGGGTTTAATCAAAAGGGGAAAATAAACTTATAGATTGTTGTATGAGAATTATTCAAGACTTGGTTACTTGTGAAGAACTCTTGCACCAATGGTAGTATAATATTTGTCATAACGTATCGATCCAAAAATTAAATCCCTATACATAAAATTTTAAAATAATGAAAAACAGGGAATCGTCATTAATTTTTTTAGGGTGTGATTGGCTATCTAAAAGTTTTATTTTTTTCTTAAAACAATAAAATAGGTTTAAACTTTATTAAAAAGATAATTTTGGTTTACAAAAATAGGATTGGGTTTGGAAGTTGATTATGCATGGGTAAGGATTAGCTCTCCCATAGCGCCTATAAAATTTGTACCAATTAATCAGGCGTTATTTTATAACTTTAGACCAAAATGGTTTTTATATGAAATTTAATTATAATTCCTTTCATTTTTTAAGAAATAAAATTATTTAAAAATCTTTCTTGAGAAATATGGTGAAAATCTCCAAATTAAAGAAATACATTAAAATTCTCTGACACAAAATTAAAGATTATACAAATAAAAATGAATTAATAATAAAAAACAAATAAAATAAAAATAACATAACAGCTATATATTACAACAAAATATATACAGTGTCTTAACTTTTGGTTATTTTTTAAAAAGGTGGCATGGCTTTACCTTAAGTAAGCTTCTTATGGCTCATGATATACTGGGTCGAGATTTATTTATCTAAAGGTTCCAAAATCAAACCTTACGTCATCGTTCATTACAAACTAAAAGGGCATACCAATCCTCACCCACTAAAGGTTACAAACGGAAATGGTTCGATCTAAGTGAAAGTATTTCGCTAGCAAATGTAGAGGTTATCACCTCACGAGGGCGTAACTACTTTACTTTCTCCTAATAAAGATAAAGTCCAGGTCTAGAGTTCATGCATGTAAGTGAATATGCAAAAGTGTATAAAATAGTATATTAATCAAAACAATATAAACACATTATAAATAACAAAGTCAGAATAATAACTAATGTACAATTTATTTATTATTTATTTTGTTGAAAACTAAAATAAAAGAAATTAAATTAAATATGAAATAAAATCAATTAAATCCAAAACTCTCAATAATGCATGATAAAATTTTTTGGCTTGGCTCTCAAAGTCTTCAATTGAGTCACTAAGTTGTCATAACGTATTGGTCTGGAGATTTGACTTCTAGACATAAATAAAAAATCATGAAAAACAGAGAGTTGTCATCAATCTTTTTAGGGTGTGATTGGTCACCCAAAAATTTTATCTTTTTAATAAAATAATATAATAGGTTTAAAGTTTATTAAAAAGATAATTTGGGTCTATAAAAACAAGATTTGGTTTAAGTGTTGGTTATGCGTAGGGAAAGATTAGCACCTCCACAGTGTCTATAAAATTAGTACCAATTAATCATGCGCTATTTATAACTTTGGATCAAACTGGTTTTTATATGAAATTTAATTATAATTCCCTTCATATTTTAAGAAATAAAATTATTTAAAAATCGTTACTTAGAAATGTCGTGAAAATCTCCAAATTAAACAAATACCTTAAAATTCTTTGATATAAAAGAAGAATTCGAGAATAATCATTTCCGTCTAAGATTTACCATAACATTTCCTTGAAAAAATAAAAAATAATATTCTTTGAAAATTATAATTATTAGTGATTTTCCAACACTTAGGCAGAGTAGCAAAAATTATGTTTTCAGAATATTATTTTAACTTTATTTTAAATCCATTGTTAAATAATATTTCCCTTAAAAGATATTTATGTAGAAAAAGAATGATGCGACAATTAAACAAAGAACAATAATAACAATTAAAAAAATATGAGCATGTGAATTTAGGATTTTAAAATTTCGTTTGTATTTTTTATTTAATTTTTATTTTATTACTTTAAAATATGAAATTATATGAAATTTCTTAATGAAATAAATTTAATAAACACTACATCATCTAGGTGGCATTTGAGAACGAATTACTTCACAAAAAATTTTCACATAAATCCTTGAATCTTTAAGAATGATTTGGAGTTTTAGAACGTTAAGGCTTAGGTTTTTATTTTGGGTTTGAACTAAAATTTTAGGATTTTGCTTAGGGTTTAATGATTCACCTTGGATATAGGGTTTAACCAAGAATTTAGGTTTCTACCTAGGGTTTTAGGGTCTTACTTAGGGTCTTGGGTTTCGATTATAATTTAGAGTTTTTAGGAATTTATAAACCTCTTTAAAAATCTCCAACATCATAAGCAAACTTTCAAAGTAAACTCGTTTTTCATAATTTAAAAAATTAAAAGTGAATTTTTATATTTTTCTTTTTCTGTTTTTCATTACAATTTTATTATTTATATATTTTTTATTATTTTCATTTTCTATTGTTTAATAATTGAATTAAAAAATTTTTAAAACATAATTTTTAATTTCCTCCAATATCTAAGCCTTTTTATTATATTTAAAAAACATTTTATTACATTTAAAACTTTTATATTTTTATTATTAATTATCTACATTATTATTATTATTATCACTATTTACCATTATTTTTTATTATTTTATATGTATATATTATTATTATTATTATTATTATTATTTTATTTTTAAAAAATCCTAAGCAAACCCCTGCAATAAGCAATAATAAGCATGTAAAAAAAAAAAAAAACTCGACTATTCCTTATAATTGGTTTTCATGTAAACAACAATAAGCATGTAAAACCTTTCCCCATGCATGTGCAATCTCCATGTAAACAACAATAAATGTGTAAAACCTTTCCCCATCCATGTGTAATCTTCATGTAAAGAAGCCATATAGATATATTCAGGCTAGAACAAACAAAGGACTCCAAAGATGATGAAGCTTTCTTGCATATATACTTTATATAAGGACAAAAACTAAAAACCATGAAAGGTTGAAGCTTTGGGCTTTAACAAACCATATGCAGAAAAACTAAACAAAGACATGGAGATGATAAAGCTCTAGACCTATGTAAGCAAATCTCACATAAAAACCACAAGCAAGGGAAAGAAATATAAACTTTAAACCCTTTTTTATTGAC